ACTGCACCTGGGGGCGACCCGATGCAGAGGGGTACCGATGGCAGATGGAGCCGGACCGTGGCCTTGCTGCAGGGGATCCAGGCTATTCCCAAAGGTGTAGCCCTACCCATGATGAGCCAAGAAGCACTGGTGTTAGCCTTCCAGAAGCTTTTCCCCGAGCAATGGTTCAAGAACTACAAGTTCGCGATGGTTGAAGACCTCATCAACAGCCCACCTTTCTGCTCATATGCTGCTTGGCTAGCAGAGCGAGGAGAAGCTTGGGATGGCCCCCTCGTCCCGCACCTTGCTGCTGGGTCAGTGAGGCAGCTTGCACGGATTGGGGATGGGTGCCAAGTTGGTGCGATGACACACCGAGCAGCCTTGCCACCGCTGCTGCCATTCAACTTGGATCCCGATGACCACTTCAACCAAGCCGTACAACGAGCTCAGCAACCATTGCCCTATGAAGATCTCCCAGTAGTTGACTTGGATCTGGAGTTCGTAGCTGATGCCTATGCAGCACATGGCCAACCATTGCGCCCGTGGCGACAACATGCAGTAGGGGCCATGCGCGAGCTGAAGAGACGTTGGGAGGGGGTGACGCTCCACTTGCGGTCTTTTCAAGAGCCTGCCATACAGCAAGTCACACGGCATCGCGATGTGGGGTTCATCGCACTGTTGATGCTGCTGACGTCATGGGCCGACACCAGTTTTCCCTATGGCTTGATCCGTGGGTTACCAGCAGTGTGGTACGCACCACCATATGGAGTCTTCCCCCAACAACCGGCTGAGGTGATCAGCATGTCCGACGTGTTGGATGGATGGCAAGAACACAACCAGCACATCTTAAACCAGCTGCGAGCAGGCAAGGATGATGAGTTCCTCCTGCAGCAATCGTTGGAGGATGCAGCGAATGGCTTCTGCACAGCACCCTTGCGGCGGTCAGATTTCCTGAGGTCCATTGGCAACAAGGCACATAGATTGATCCCACGTTGCGTGATCACGCAAAGCTCCGGCAAGCAGCGAGTGATCGACAATGGTGACACTGGAGGACAATCAGCCTTATCATCCGATGCCAACAAGCTTACATTGTGCAGCCCCTTGCGCCCTGCACAACACATTCGTTTGGCGATGCATCGTTGGACAGAGGAAGAGATATCCGACTTCTTTGCACGCGATGCCTGGGAGACAGGACAAGAAGATCTGCCTTCAGCATACAGGTATTGCCCTATGGCATTGCAGGAAAGCCTGGGATGCGTGGTGGTGTGGTACCATCACGAGTGGCAAACCCCTGCATACCAAGTATACGCTGGGCTGCTCTTCGGGCTGCCGTTAGCAGTTACCTCCTTTAACAGATTTTCCAGACTGTTGGAGGCGCTAGCCAGGCGCTTTTGCCGAGTTCTGACATCCCTATACTTCGATGACGCAACCATCACAGACCTGCGCTCTTCAAAAGGATCTGGCCAATGGGCCATGAATCAATTGTGTGCCTTGATCGGCTCCCCCTTCGCCGAGGACAAGAAGCAAGCAATGCAGAGCACAGGAACCTTCTTGGGGCTGACCCACGATCTTAGCTGCATCAACCAAACAGGGCATGTGCGCTTTTGGGCTCGGGAACGTCTCCATGACAAGGTACGTGATCTGTTGGCTACTGCCAGGGTGACTGGCCATTTTAGCCGAGGGGCAGCATCGAAGCTGTACGGACTGGCCAATTTCCTGGAGCAGGGCATTTACGGTCGAGTGGGATATGGTGGTCTTATGGCGATCAAAGCCAGACAAGATGAGCCCACCTCAACCATAACCCCGGAGATTGAAGCATGCTTCGAGGTGATCGAAGCAGTCATGCGCTTTCAGCCAAAGCGGGAATTTCCCGTTCTGCACCTGGATCATCTGCGCTTCCTTGCGGCCTCCGACGCGGCTGTCGAAGCAGACAATCCTGGTTCAGGAGGTTTTCACCTGATCTTTTTCCAGCCAGACGGATCACAAATTCGTCACAGTTTTGTCGCCACCAATTGTGCAGAGCTTCAAGCACTTTGGCAACCTGCAGAGACACACATCGCCCAATTAGAACTATCAATGGTGCTCTACGCCCTAGTCGAAAGGCCTGACCTGTTTCGAAACCGACACGGCCTCTGGTTTTTGGACAACGTGGCAGCCGTCATGACGCTAGTGAGAGGACGTTCTAGCAATGCCGACTTAGCGAAGCTAGGTCATTTGATCCATCTAGCTCTGTTTGCACTGCGAGCCCAAGGATATTGGGAGTACGTCCAGAGCAAGAGCAACTGGGCTGACGACATCAGCCGACTTGGCGTCGACGATCCATGGTGGCGATGCCATGGTTTTGACTTTCATTCGTCGTACCTCCCTACAATCTTTTTCCAGCTGCCTTTTGCTGCTGTCATTCTCACCTTCGAATACCTTTAGTGCTTTGGGAGTTTAGTGCATTGGGTGATTCCTGCAGAGCAGGTTCCAGCCTGGGTTGCCAGGCAGCTGACCAGTGGTGAAACTGGTCTGGGGCTATGTACATGTCACACAGTGACGACCCAAAGCAAACCTGAGGATTGCAGGTGAAATTGACTGAGCATAGGCATAGCTGTGGAAAAAGAAAGCTGCGGGAGCGCGAGACAGTATCTGTTTCATATGACACTTTGAGATGTACCCATGCATTGAGTTTGGCAGGCTTGGGTGTGCATGTATCATCTTTAAGTGCCTCAATGAATGCTATCATTTTGGCTCAAGTAAACTTGAACCAAAATAGCATTCATTGCTTTTTCTTTCCCCACCCTCCCAACCCCAAGAGCCGACCTCCCGTGGAGATGTCCGCCTAGGTTAGGGGAGCCTGCAAGGCAGGCGAGTCCATAGCCTCTATCGGGGATCCTCTCTTGGGGCGACCAAGAGAGGTTTACCCTCCCTTAGGTTAAGGGATGGGTGATTCCTGCAGAGCAGGTTCCAGCCCGGGTTGCCAGGCAGCTGACCAGTGGTGAAACTGGTCTGGGGCTATGTACATGTCACACAGTGACGACCCAAAGCAAACCTGAGGATTGCAGGTGAAATTGACTGAGCATAGGCATAGCTGTGGAAAAAGAAAGCTGCGGGAGCGCGAGACAGTATCTGTTTCATATGACACTTTGAGATGTAATTATATATTGTATGTAGACAATAGATATATAATATATGATATATAATAACCATATATATTTATAATATATAATATACAAATATACATTCTATAATATTACATTACATTACATTATTTTTTTATATTATATTACATTATATTATATTATATTACAGTTTATATCATATTATATTGCAGTTTAGTTTATATTATATTATATTATATTATATTATATTATATAATATTATATTATATTATATTATATTATATTACATTATACTATATTACATTATATTATATTATATTATCTGATATGATATTGTATTATATTATATTATAGTATGTAATAAATATATATATATTTCTCGAATTATTGCACACTTTTTTCGAAATCCTGAATTTTAGTCTTGAATTGTGATTCTGTATGTTCTTAGTGCAGTGGATCCTTGCAATGCTATTGAAGGGAACGGGTTCTTTTCCGCCAAGTACGGGCACCAAGGACCCCAATCTTCCGCCTTGTGCGAATGGGGCTGATGCTCAAAGCAGAGGCAAGGGACTCATCGTCGGGACACAGTTTGTGTCGGTGTGTGGCTCTCGAGCCTCGCGACCTTTTTGTGTGTATCACTGTGCTGTTGTTCATCACTGATTCAACAGCATTAAAGACACAATAAAATGTATTAAATTTTGAAATAGAACGCGATTATATAATTTCACGTGAAAATTTCTCGAAATGCAAAATCCAGGTTCATCCAGGTCGGAATTTGGTTCCCTGTTGGATCTTTTCCAGAGCTCTTTCGGAAGGTAGAACTTCGGAAGTTGGGCCGCATGCCAAATGGTCTCAATGTCAACGTTGGAGGGCTCGGTTTGGAGAATGCTGCAGCTTCTGCAGCTTCCAGCTGTAGGAGACAGTAGGTATTAGATATATCAGTACAATTCAGTACTTTTCCTGTCAGCAATTGAAAGCTCAGATCTTCAGAATTTCTAGGCCGGTTACGATTGCTTTAGGTCTCTGATTTTCCAAGGCCTGTGAGGAGAAGTTCGGCTGGGGGCCGGGATCACAGTTTTGCCATGTTTTGCTAGATTCTTCTACAGTTGTTTTTGGTCTTGAGTCTTGTTATGTTAAATCCGGTGCTTCGTTCCTTTTGAGCCTGACAGTACAAGTGCCATGGATCAAGTCATCAGAAGAGAAAAAGGTCTGAGGTTTGTATTTACAATAGTTGAAGTCTGTCGAGACTCCTTTTCTTATTCCTTCCTTGGAGCATTTCACCAGAGTCCAACTTGAGCCCTATAAAGCAATTTGCCCAGGTTGCTGCACTTTGCCTGCCACAAAGGGGAAGCTGGCCTTGCACAGTGGCTCCTCAAGCAGAAAGCCAGGCCTGAAAAAGGAGATGACATCGCAGTACTCACAAGTTATATCAATGTGTAATTCGATAGAATTTGTATGTGACAAAAGATTGAGATGCTCTGGATGTAGAACAAAAGCAACACATGCCTTACTCAGAGAAGCATCCTTGTTCAATGTTTTAAGAAAAAACATCAGTGCTTTTCACAAGAAGCAAGGATGTTGGATGTTGCAAACTCGCACTGAGATTCCTGGGCGTTCACTTCCCTTGGCATTTGAGCCATTTGAGCTTCACCAACTTGCGATGACAGGACTGACGTCACCGATGCTGAGGGCAACACACCCTTAGTTCTTTGTGCCAAGTCCAACCATGTCCAGGCACAACAATTGGTCTTTGCATGGCGCAATAGTGCTTTCCGCCAGAACTTTGCAGCCACATCGCGGCGAAGAGTGCAACATTAGTTATGTGCATTTAGTATCCGACTATACAGGCTCTGTAGAGTCTGCAGGTGAGGCTTTGTGCACATGTGTTGCATTGACTGTCAGGCAATGGAGCTCCTCATGGCCCGTCCAAAGCTTTGACGCATTGTATTTTGTTTATGTATGTTTGGATCTTTTAGATGTTTGATGGTGGTTTCGTATTCTGCTTAACTCCCAGTCTTCCCTGAGGCCCTTCTTGGTGGTGTCCATTTGCTCCGCTTCCTGCATGAACGTCTATGAGTCTTTATAGCTATTGTTTTCTGAGGTGGTGCCAGCATTACTCAGAGGACTAAGGCAAAGTCAGAGAGAAATGGGCAGAGAGTGAGGAAGGGAGGGAGCCCGAGGCATGCGGAGGCAATGATAGGAGAGACAGAGATAAAGAACTCAGATGACCAACAGATGACCCACCCCTTATATTAGACAGGACCTGTCTAGGTGATTTTGTTCTGGCTACGCTCTTGCAGTTTTGTTGTCCCTCTTTGAAACAAGATTCATGTCCTACTCAGCCAACAGGAACTGCAAAGCAGCACCGTTGTATGCCGGTTGTCCCTTGGCCAGGAGCAAAATTTCACACCACTGCTCTGGGCAGCAGCAGGTGGACATTTCCAGGCCACAAAGTCCTTGCTGGAGGCCGTTGGCAGCGGGAGTCACATGAAAAAATCATGAACACGTCTTTTATTTTGTGAAGTAAAAGTTGCAGCTGGGGATGAATGCTTGGCTTTGCTGCAAACTCCGTTTTGTTTGTTCATCTTTGTTTTTTTTTACAACTGTACTGGTACTGTAGTTCTTTAGTTCTTGGATTATCTTGGATTATCCCTTGCCTCTCTTGTAAGTTGATAATAAGTTGATATATGTTTGCATTTAAGATTTAAACGCGTCCTGGGAGACCTCCAGATCCAATTTGACCTTGTTACCTTGTCATGTTTCGTCTTTTGTTTTGTGAGCTTGACTCAAGCTTGAGAGCCTATTAGAGAAAAGCAGAGCAAGTATTCATATGATTTGAAACCCATCAGCCTGGCAAACTACGATGAAATATCTGGAAACACCTTCAAACCTGGAAAGCGTCTTATAGATCACCAAAAGTGAGGCCAGACTGCTTGGTTCCTGAGGTTGCCAACAAAGACATCAAAGACATGTCATGTGAATTGACCACTTCCGATCAACTTCAGCGCAAGCCAAGTTGCTGGTACCAAGTTGGAAACGATCACACAGAACGCTTCCGCTGCTTCTGCTCCCTGGCCATGGCATTCTCTCGGTCGTTACTTCGGTCCGGGAGGCGTGCTGACAAGGCCTTTCTGAGGCCGCGAAGTGGCATGGCCAGAATAGAGAATGCAAATGACGTCGTGAAGACGACGTGATTGCGGAAGGAAATGTGTGAAATGTCCGGTTTGCAGATGTGTTTCCTGATGGAGTTGCATAGCAAAGCGTAAACCATTGCAGTGTTTGTTGTCTCCGCTGTTTATTTATAGAATGTGGTTGCAATGTCCTGCTGGGTCGGTTTCTTCAATCGACCCGCGCAGCTTGTGTTGATTATTTTGTTCCGTCTTAACCTCGACTATTGCGCGTAACCTGGAGATACGAAGCCCGGGATGTAAAACAAAGCATTCATTCAGCACGTGTGAAAGACGGTGGGATCGAAATCGATTCAATTTAGGCACGGTGGGACAGACAGCTCTGGACCGTCCTTCAAAAAGCAGCCTGCGCTCTGGACTTCAATCCGAATGGTCCACGTAGAGGTTTCAAAGAATTTCATGTCTTTCGGATCTTGATCTGTTGAACTGGGAAACATTCATAAACTTTCTGCTGGCCACTGCTCTGAACATCTCTGAACCTTGCAACATCTTGCAACCACTGGCACCCCACGGCCCCAAGGTGTCTCCTTTATCTCTCGCAATCTCGCAGTGATCTCAGAGTCGCGGCTTGATGAATTTATGCGAGCAGAGCTTAGCATCTTTGAAGCTCGGCAGATGCTGCTACCCGACACTTTTAGGGATCCAGTCTTGCAAGCTTTGATGATCTTTGATGTACAGGCCAAGTCACTCAAAAACTACTTGTACCTACTTCAAGTGCTTCGCTGGGTTGCTGTATAATTATGAGTAGACTATGTTTCCTTGACAGGAACTTTTTTGTTTATGCAATTTTACTGGTTTTTACTGCAATAGTATTCACCCCGCTTCGCGTGGGGTGGCCGCCCACACCGCAGGTTTATTTCGGTCCGTGAGAGGGGCTAAGGGTGGTGTGGAATATGAGGAGCAGAGCAGCACAGGAGAATTGACATACATAACTGCTGGGTTCGTGAATATTTTCACTTTCCCCCCCCGTGGGGGCTCCCCAAGCTAGGGAATTTTCACTTTTCCCCCCCGTGGGGGCTCCCCAAGCTAGGGAATTTTCACTTTTCCCCCCCCGTGGAGGCTCCCCAAGCTAGGGAATTTTCACTTTTTCCCCGCTGTGGGGGCTCCCCAAGCTAGGGAATTTTCACTTTTCCCCCCGTGGGGGCTTCCCAAGCTAGGGAATTTTCACTTTTCCCCGCCGTGACAGCTTCCCAAGCTATGGAATTTTCACTTTTCCCTCCCTTGGAGGCTCTCCAAGCTGCGGAATTTCAAAATAGCTAGACAACGACGCCTAGATAGTCCCCCAAATCCCGTGTTCTTTGAATGTGTTTCCATGTTTTTGCAATGGTTTCCTTCAAAGCACGGTACTTTACACTTTTGTCGCCATAAACCCGGTCGAAAACATCATGTTCGACAATGCTTCCAATTCCCTTATCTCCCCAACCGTTGAAAATACCGCTATTTACAGTGTTTTCTTCAATTTTTCCATGTTCCAATGCTGGTAGCCAACTCCAACATATATATAAGAAATCCTTCCAAAACATTGTTTTTGACAGTGTTTTTCCAATGTTTCCAGTCAAACAGACGGTAATTTACACGTTTTTTGCCATAAAGGCAGTAAATCCTTCCAAAACATTGCTTTTGACAGTGTTTTTGTAATGTTTCCAGTCAAGCATTTTCCAGTTAAGCATACGGTAATTTACACGTTTTTTGCTATAACGTCAGTCCAAAACACTTGTTTTTGCAGTGTTTTCAATGCTCTGGCATCCAAAAACCCTGCAAAATCTTGCTATGTACAATGTTTTTTTTATTTTTGGCCGTTTTTCCATTGCCGGAAAGCTACCAAAATGACCCAAAATTCCATTTCAATACCCTCTTGCGCTCAGACACCCAAAAATCCGCGAAAAATGTCGAAAACACCACCGTATTCTGGTCTCGGTGCGAAACCGTTTTTGGCCCCCCCCAGCTAAAGCTGATATAGCGACTGCTATATTAACAAATGTGATTGAGCATTTAGTGTAGCTGTTTGCCCCCCAATAAGCACGCCTTCACCGCCAAAGCGGTGTGGGCGGATTTTAAAGCGGCAAGGTCATCATCAGCAGAATAGTCAGAGTTGCTGGATCCGGCTAGCCAAGTCGCAAAAACTATAACTATATATATATACATATATATATACGTACGTATATATATATTATATACAATGGTCAATTACAATAGAAGAAAAACACTGAAGGTCTCTTTCACGCCAGAAGTGAAAAGACAGCCAAACTTGTCTGAGAGCATGCCTACTGTGTTGCAAACCTGCTTTGACCGATCAAACTGGCAAAGAGTCACCATCTCACAAGTGTTTAATCAATGTTTTTTGGAGGCAATGCAACTGTAGCCCAGGAGATAGACCCAGGACCCAAGTCTAGTATATATACCCTGGAGCCCTGGGGGGGCCAAGCAAAGCCAGAGACGAGGCAAAGCAGCGGCCACCACAGCCATTGTCGTTCTTGGATGTGATCAAAGCATCATCATGTCTGGAGGGATTGGCGCAGCTCGTTCATCAGGTGCCTTCAGCTCGATACTGTGACATTAGAGCACTTTTGAATGCTTTGAGAGACTCGATGAATCCTTCTTCGAAATTGACATAATCTATTTGGCAGCTCCACGTGGCCGGCGGTGTCCCATGTGAGTATGCAATGCTATGGAGCATGTTAGCATTCCTGTCCTACCGCAGCCATCTCTGGACCAACTCCCAAAAAGCGATTCGATTCGACACTGTTTAAATGCTCATACTACTACAAGTATGAGCAATCCTACCAACCCCGGAAGCACGGGGCATCCGCAGTGCCGTCCTTGCAGGTGCGATCGAAACTATGGTTTGCCTGGGTTGTTCAGGAAGCCGCAGAGATGATCAAAGAATATCAAAGGTACTTTCCAGTATCAGTTAAACCCAAATACAAACGGCTAGGCGATAGTTGACATCAGTTGACTAAAACCTATGTAGTATGAGTATGATAATTGTACCAGTAGTACCGCACAAGGCGGTGGCGGAAGTTTCAAAAATAAGAAACCTATAGGAGAGGTTGGTTGTTGTGAATCAGGGATGGCAGAGCGAAGCCACTGATGGATTGAAAGGTGCTTGATCTCTCTCACTCTTTCTCTCTCTTTCTCTGACTATCTACCTACCTACCTATCTATTTTCTATGTATCTATTTTCTATGTATCTATCTATCTATCTATCGATCTATCTATCTATCTATCTATCTATCTCTCTCTCTATCTCTCTCTTTCATCTAATTACCTATCTATCTATCTATCCATCTATCTATCTATCTATCTAACTATCTATCTATCTATCTGTCTGTCTGTCTGTCTGTCTATCTGTCTAGCCATTTATCTATCTATCTCATCTACCCAGCTGGCCTCTCTCTCTCTCTTTCATCTAATTACCTATCTATCTATCTATCTATCTACCTGTCTATCTATCTCTCCCTTTCATCTGTCTAGCTGTCTACCTGTCTATCTGTGTTGCAGTGTCATTCAGTGTAATGTAGTGTGGTGTAGTGTAATTTAGTGTAGTGGAGTGTACTGGAGTGTAATGTAGTGTAATGTAGTGTACTGGAGTGTAGTGTAGTGTAACGTTCTGTAGTGTAGTGTCTTGAAGCGAAGCGACATCTGAACCTCCAAAAGTGGTCCGAACCCCTAGTGTTTTGTACATTTTGACCTCACAACGGCGTGCACTTTTTCGACATCTCAACTTCC